ACATTTAAAGAAGAATTAATACCTATTCTTCTGAAACTGTTCCAAAAAATAGAAATGGAAGGAAAACTTCCAAACTCATTTTATGAGGCCAGCATTACCTCGATTCCAAAACCAGACAAAAACCCCATCAAAAAGGAGAACTACAGAACTACATCCCTGATGAATATGGATGCAAAAATTCTCACCAAAATACTAGCCAATAGGATCCAATAGTACATTAAAAGGATTATTCACCATGACCAAGTGGGATTTATTCCTCTAAAACCCTGATGTGGTCAGAAGCCAAATAAAAAATAAGCCATACTCAAAGATCTCCATGAGATTTATTCAGTCCCAATTATTCAGTATGTTGGCCACTGGCCATGTGCTATAAATGTTCTTTCCAGCCGAGTTCTACTGGATTAGGAAAAGCAAATCAGGAAATGCTGAGGTCTTTGTGTAGAATGTAGAACTTTCCTTCCCAACTCTTGTATTTCTGTCCATGGTACTGCTGTTGCCTGTTTACCCGGGTTTGAAATTTCAGCGCTGCCTTTCACTGATATTTCTACTCTGAGCTGTTTTTTATACATATCATTCCTCTCAACGCCCACAGTGACTACCCTTTAAGCACATATCATGTCATTCCTTATTTGTTACAATTATTTTTCAACTGCCCTATCTAAACCTGGCTTTACCTTGGGTTCGTTCATTCTTCATTTACTGAAACTCCACTTTGATTACATCAGGATTTGTCCAAATCCCCGGTACTCCATTTGGGTTAGGTGATTCACATTTCCATTATAGGATTCACTCATACCCACTTAGGACCCGGGAAATAATTCCTGCCCCTGAAAGGAAGACTATAAGGGATTCCTGCCTGGGCAGACATGTCCTCATTTTTAAGACTTTCTTGCCACCCAGGTTTCATGTTAGCTGCCCACTTTGCTTGGCTTTATTCTTTTGTGCTTGTATATTTTTCTTGGCCCCTGACTTATCTAGTTGCTGACCCTCAGGCCAGGCTTTTGTGACTTACTGCATCCATTTTCACTCAGAAATCTTCAGTGGCTTACTATTCTTTTACAAATGCTTGGTCCTGGCACTCCTTGCCCCCTATGACTTCATGTTATGTGTCCAGTATGATCTTCCAATGCTCCCCAGCATGAACTCTAAGCTGACCTAGGCAGACTCATCCTCTGAACACTTCAAAGATTCTTCTTGCTTCTGAGTGTTTGTTCATGCTATTGCTCACACAAGAAATATCCTCTCACCCACATTTCCAAATCCCATCCAGTTTTTCATTGTTTAACTTAGGTCCCATTTCCATCACAAAGCCACCTGAATTGATTTTACCTTGCACTGAATTTTCCTTCCTCTAATCTCTTATCTAATCTCTTACACAATGCAGAGAATAATGCCACACAATATAGAAACGAGAGAAAATTGTTTGTGGAGTCTTACTAATCACTCCGTTCCTTAGCCCCAACTAGTTACGACCTTCGCAGCAAAGAGCGAGTCTTATTTATTTACTTACTTTTTTATTCAAGTATAATTAACATTCAGTGTTATATTAATTTCAGGCGTACAATATAATGATTCAACAGGGAATTGAGTCTTTCAATTATTTTTTCTGCCTTTGCCTACTTAGGTAGCAACAGTACTGAGCATACATAGATAAAATTCAATAAATATTTGTTGAATTGAAAGAATATAAATGATACCAGTTTCAGGTTATTAGAGATGTAGACTCTCTGTTACTTTGCCACTCCATCTAACACTGCAGGCCTATACATGATCTAAAGGTTATACTGGCATTATAATTAATAGTGGCAACTGCTGTTTACTGATGGGCCACCAAGGGTATAGTGATGTGTCTGGCACTTAAGAATAGTGAATGCAAAAGTATTATTAAACAACACCAGCACAAATATATGCTGAAGTTGAAGGATTCACATGTAACTGACACTATCTTCTTTTAAAGAAACTATTCCCTGCCACTTATTGTAGTGTTTTTATATAATGTTATCCTGAAGATTGAAAAAAAAAAAAAAAAGGGAAAATGGCTAGGTTAATTAGGGTGCTACAATGTAGAATTATATTAAAAAATAAGAGATAAAATGAGATTCCTCCTAATAGCTAAGCTTAACATTAAAATCATTTCATTAGCAATATCAAACAATATGCTCTAGCTGAAAAACAATTTATTATTCAAAGTACCAATTAAACTAAATGTGACATATGAAAGTTGTGCTTGGGAAAAAATCAGTTTCATATAATTAACTTCAAACTAACATCGCAATTAGGAAAGAAAATATGCAGATGTTACCAAATTTTGCAGTGTTATTACGTGGGAGTTGAAATATGCTTCTGCTTTAGAAAATAATTTCTGCTGTTAAATGATTTTGATGGGAGGCAT